GGTATAAAAAGTAAAGTATACTAACAGGATGAGCTGTGAAAGGCTCAAGTCAACAACTTCTGACACTGCCAGTCCTATGCATAACCCCTACTATTATGGACTATTGGACTGTATTGGCATATTTTGCTAAATTCACACACCTACAGTATTTAAGTGGCAAGTGAATACCCATCTCTGACAAAACTAAAAAAAGAGGATACAAATGAAGGACCATTTTGTATCTGTATATACAAAGTAGGATAGATACACAGCTGCTTTCTCTTAATGAGAAGAAAGATTTGTACTAATAGTGTGTGGACAGGATATCATGTCTGCATCTTGTAATATGAATAACCACTATGAAGACAATATGCAATGTATTAATTATTGAAACTGTCCTACTAATCTTTTTTGAAACTGTCTCACTGCTATTTATCAATAAATTTAATTTTTAAAAATGTGAAAGAAATAAACTTATTACTGTTTTTAGAACCTGGGCACTGGCCTCTATTAAGATTTCAGTAGTGACTGGCTCTGGTTACACAAGGCCTGAAGCAGATAAAAGTTTATATAAAAATAAAATTTAGTAGCTAGGTTTTTTTGTGGTTTTTGTCCTTTTGAGACAGGGTCTCACTATGCAGCTCAGGCTGACCTTGAACTTTCTTTGTAGCCCAGGCTGGTCTTGAACTCCTAACACTTCTGCCCCAGCCTCCCAAGTGCTGGGATTACAGGAGTGTGCCACCATGCCAGGCTAGGTCATTTGGATTCACACTAAAATATATATTAGGTAAAGAGTAAAATAAAAGAGAACTGGTAGTCAACAGGGAGGTAGAATCTAAAGATGGTAAAGGGATTTGGAGAAGAAAATAATTAAGACAGTAGGTGTATATACAAAGTCCCCAAGATGAATGCAAGGACTATTATGTACCACAAATACAGATGAATAAAAAAATTAAAGAATATAATCAAATGATGGTCAGTTCTTTTCCCTTGATTTCACTGTGTCAAACCAGTTACAAGTTTAGTTCCTGTGGGCCATATGCTGTTTCCAGCTGGGCGAGGTAATGACCATGCCCTGGGAAATAGTTCCTGGCGAGGGCTTTTGTACACATCTAGGGGCATGAGAATCAAATGAATGCAGCCACAGGCCTTTACCTCTAATCCAGCACACCACCTGGATTATGCAGGACAGGTACGGATTCATTCTACCTCTTCTGTGTGGGTGCTACTCTGCGCTTGGTAGGCTGTGGTCTGTGTGGACCAAGAAGCCCACTTCTGAAAAGTTCCTTTTGCAATGACAGCACTTGTGTCCAGACCCCTACCCACACTTTCCAGCATCCACACTTCGCTGTCTATGGGCTGGCAGTGCACTCATTCTCAGCCCAGAGGAATCAAGACAACACATGCCTAACATGAAGATGGACAATTTATCACTGTTACAACCTGAGTGAGGCTGGGGATTTGGCTCACTGGCAGAATGCTTGCCTCACAAGCTGAAAACCCTGGGCTCAGTCCTTGGCACCAAAACCAAAAAATAAACCTCTCTTAGGGCTGGGGAAGATAGCTCAGTGGTTTAAGCACTTGCCTAGCAAGGACAAGGTCCTGAGTTTGATCCCCAGTACCAAAAAATATAAAAAACAATTCAACCAAATAAATAAATAAATAAATAAAACCAAAAAAGAAAACATGGAACCTATAACCTAAGAAACCTCAGATATTAGAAGTGAGAAGCCCACTATGCTCTGCACTATACAGGTGGCCAAGTGGACCAAGCCTTCTGTACTCACCTTTGTTGGGTAAACTGTCCTGAAGCACATTGCCTTTAATTCTAGCTACTGAGGGGTAGGCCACTTGCACAAACCTGTTTTCACCCATGCTACCTGCTGCTGATCTACTGGGAACATTCTCATTTCACATGATTTTTCCATAATCAGTGCAGCAGGGAGTCCATGGGAACCCTAAGTGTGATTACTCCAAGCCTTCCACTAACCAGGGAAGGCTGTGCGCTGATAACAGAGCCCGCCACAAGATGCATTCTGGTTATACCCCTCAGATTTTGCAGCATTCACACCTAATACTGCAGCTGTGGTAAAAGATTGTGTGGACCACAGCTTTTCAACAGATTGGTTGCCAGCCAATATGCAACATATAGGGATCCCTGAATTGGCCACTTAGCTGTTCAAGCTGCAATCTCTGCCAAACCAAAAAAGCTGAGGCTGAAATTACTAAGAATTCCCCATATTCTACATTGCTTTTATGGATTTGTGTTGTTTAAACTTCCTTTCATCTATGTTAGTAGATGAAGCACAGAATACTGCTTTCATTGTACAGTGAAAGTTTTTGTTAGAATGAACCTTAAGGGCTGGTGAGATGGCTCAGTGGTCTAAAGCACCTACTTAGAACAAGCTTAGCTAAAGCACAGGGACTGCCGTTCAATCCCCCAGCACCACATGCCAGCCAGCCCCACCCCC